TGGGTTGCATACCCAGTTGGTGTTCTTTCATCATCCGTCTCACTTAGGTGATCCTGTTCAGCTCCTCCTACAAAAAGATTTCTTGGCATCGGCCTAAAGTCATTCAATCCGGCCTCAGATACGTAATCGTCCTCCTGTTCGTCTATTTCATTTCTTGGGGGGCGTTCTCCTGTAAAGGTACGGACCATTTTGTTTTTCAGCAGGTTAAATTACACAGCTTTTTGTTCGAGCTTCCCACAGACGGCGCCAATGTTTCGGCAGCTTCGCAGTCCAACACTGTTGAAGTCTTCAGCTGCTTCTACACCTGAAAATCCCGAGGATGCTTCCTCGGGGAAAACACTCCAACGCTCAAGTCAGCAATACTCAATATTCTAGAGAGAGATGCTCTCAAGGAGTAATTGCAGAGAGAGAAGCGTAAAGATTAATTACCTTCTTCGGAGGTGGTTGAGGGGTATTTATAGCCCCAACTGCTGACATGTATCTGCACATGTAAGCTTCTCATTGGCCCACGTGATGCTACCCACGTGGATATGTCTCATCCTCTTGGGCCTGTGGGTGCGTAGTTGGGCCTGCTGCATGTGGCCTTAAGAGGGCGTTGGGCCTAATCCCAACAGTAAGGTAACTTTTTGAACTTATGAAAAGATGAGATGTCAATAAGCAATGTTTTAAAATTGAAATCAAATCAATTAGTTTTGACATTTGATTTTAATTAAACTAATTTAACCATTTAAAACATCAATTTATAAATAATTTTGTTAAATAGTTTACTATAAATAAATTTTTCGCATACAAAATACGTAACAATTATTACTACAGGTGATAAAAACACACAGCTGTAATTGACAGGTCGAAAGAATGAGATTTTCTGTCTTAGAGCCCGTTGGATGTGGTTGGAGTTTTTAGTAGAAATTCTGTTAGAGGGAATTTATTGTGAAAGTGTTATTTTTGAGAAGTTAAAAATATTTAATAAAATTTTTTATCGAATGACTTTTAAAGTGTAAAAGTATTTGGTAATTTTTTTTATAAAAGATCTTTTAATTTAATGTAATGGTAAAATAACTAAAATAGACCTTTCATACTCTAATCACCACCCTCATTTTAATTTTTTATATTTTTATATAACTTTAATTCTATTATTAATTTAAGGTTGATGAATAAAAATTAATTATTTATATTTTAAAATATAAAT